CATTGCCTTCACTGTAGATGGGGAAGGTGCAAGCGAGATGGCAGAGCTGAGGGAACGAATTACTAGTGAGATAATATGCCTATGAATGAAAAATTTGAGAATTTATTAATTGAATATTATTAAAAATATTGCTACACTGATTTTTATTCAACTTCATATTTATCTATTCCGTTGCTTTCTTTTTTAGTTTTAGACCTGGGAACTATATGAAAACCATTGAGCTACTTTTTTTGACATTGAGCTACAACATTGAGCTACTTTTTTTGATACTGTGATATCTTGCAGTATTTTTTTAGCACCAATGATAATACTGAAAGTAGTTAGTTTTCTAGCAGAATATCTTATGTATGAGTTTACATTTCTCACACCTAAATGTAAATAAATGTAAGAAATATTTTGTGATTAAATTTACATATATAGCACAAAATTCCCAAGGTTTACATAAATAACATAAAAATCTTATATATTTACATATGTTTTTGATGTTACAGTGGGTCAGGAATGATTTGAAGATCAAATATATTTACATATGTTTCCAATCAATGTTTCCTGGTTGTAAATAGTTTTAAGTTCATGAATTTGTATTTATAATAAAGTTAATTTTACTGTTGTTTTCTATTTCCTGTTAGTAAACAGTTTTAACTACATGATTTTGTTTTATAATAAAGTTGATTCCCAAGTTTTACATACATAGTTTTAGAGCACATAATTCTAATATATTTTAGAGCACAAAATTCTTATATAAAGTTAATTTTACTGCTGCTTTATTTTACATACCACATAATATTTAAGTTCATAATTCTTGTTCCGTTGAATTCAAATCTGATTTGAATGGTGTAAATGTAAAAAAGCGAAGCTTAGTTTAAAATCTGATTTGAGTGGGGACTTTTACAGCTTTCTTTCTGTTTAAAATCTGATTAGAAAGATGATTTTTATGTTTAAATTGGAGGGGTTAAAAGAGAAATGAATTTTTAAATATCCTAAATTTGTGGAGTAGAATCACTTATATTCTACATTTTTTATGTTGTTTTGGGCTGCTAATACTGGGTTGAGTAGTCATAAGATGAACCATACCAGTAAGTTGAAAATTGTGGGTTTTATCTTGTCCTTTGACAGTTGAGTGAGATTGTGAGTAATGATTGAGGATAGGTGCTAGTTTTTTAAATGTTTAGCTATTTTAAATATCATCATAAATCATCGTATTTAAGCTGCTCTTCAAAATTATCATTTTTATATATATAATTAATGTTAAGATCAGAATATTCTGGAATTAATATCAGTTTTAATTAAACAAAAAAATTTTATTTAATTTTTTTGTTCATGCGCTATAGCAGCATTAGGGGAAAGTAGAAAGACAAGCATCAATTATTATGTGGTGATGTGCTTTAAGAAAATTATATATAATGTTATATAATTATTCATATTTATATACATATAAAGATATATAAAACATGTATCATTAATTGTTCCATCTCATAAGTCCCCTCCCGTGAACTACAGGAAGACCAAAACATAGAGCAGTCTGGGAAAAGGGAAAAAAAAGATTATATAGCATTTTGAATGAAAGTGTATTTATAATCAGAGTGTTATGAATTCACTCTATTTTAAATATTTATATGCAAGAATAATTCCATAACACTTCAATGAACAAGAGTGCTTGCTTTGTAATTATCAATGTTTGTAGTGCTATATTTATAACTTGCCTGAGCTGTACTCAATTATTTTTGTTATATGGAGCTGAAACAGGATAATTTGCATACATACCACTGCATTTACATACATACCGCTGCTGATGCATGCCATTGGATCCCAGTATGAAGCTGAGGTTTTCTATTATTATTCTGTTCTAGGAATTTTGATTCTTAACTAGCGTTGATTTTTCTTTGTGGCAGTTAGAAGTTTGGTGGGTAGGATTCTCACAAAGTTGTGAAACTGAAGCGAGGAGCAAATAAATGAATGTGTTTATGAATCCGAACCAAATCAATCGAGCATTGTTCTTCTCCACGTATATCAGTTTGCTGGCATTGAATTTTCCACAACTTGGCAATTTCAATTTAATTTTATAGTTAAGCTTAATTTTTCGTTGAATTGTAATGGAATTTGTCACAGTTTTGGGCTACCAAACAATATTTTGTATTCTTCTTAATTTTGATTATTTTATCTGTGATGTTATGTAAAGAAAGTTTGTTTTGATTATCTTTGTTACTTTTGCTATGTTTTTTTTTATGAAACATAAAAATTGTGTGGTATGTATGTAAATTTATCTAAATATATTTGAGGTATATTTGAGGGAGGAGGTTAGATGAGTTTAATTAAAGGGCAACTTTAGATTTCCTTATATGTTCTGTTAAATATAGTTGATAAATGCGCATCATCATCATAGTTCCTGTAGTTAAAAAAAAAATCTTCTTTTAGAAGTGAGGGTATATGAACTTTCTGTCCTGTTTAGAAATGAATTTATGCTTTAGAAATTTCAAAAATATAGCTGTTAGAGTCTTCTTTTAAACAATTTTAACAAACAGGGGCCGCATAGTCATTTCTCCCGAATAGCTGCCCCACAGCTATTTTCACACAGCTGCAACAAACAAACAGTCAGTTTTCCCTCAGCTGCTTCGCCGCAGCAGCTTCTTAGGGCAGCGCAGCTGCAACTGAAAAGCTGGGAAGCTGCAACTGCGCCAAACAGAACCTTAGTCTCGATATACACGAAAGAGCTGGGCTGACTTGGGTGTTCTCAAAGATTATTTTGCACTTGATTAAATAGTCACAGTCGAGTTAAAAAAAAGTGCAATGCTGAAATTTAAATATCAATTTGTTAATGAAACTAATGAATTGGGTTTGACTTGGAGATTTTAAATAAATTAATTGAAGCAGATAAAATGCTGTGAAATATTGATCAACATACCCAAGTAGATGTGGAATATGATTAACAAAGAAAATGAAAACAGGTTTGGAAAAATAGATGAGCACGATCAAGTAATACAAATTTTCTGACCTTGGGATGTTGTGCTATGCAAAAAGTTAGAATGTTAAATGCATCCAAAGAATGGGGTTATGTTCGACATTCTAGTTTATTCATGCTAAAAGACTTAAATTCCGAATCTGAGTCTGAATCATCTTTAGTCATTTTGGTTTGAGACTTGGAGGTTTCAGGTATTCTTGGGTTGTGAAAGGATGGTTTTTTTTCTATGTATCAATACCCTAGTGAGGAACATCTCTTTTCAATGGCTTGATGGAGATGCTGACATGTTTGAGAGGAGCTGTAGTTTTCTTTCATTTCCTTTTTTCTTGTTAGCGTCTTTTTTAGATTCTTTTGTCAGCTTTGAGACCACCGTAGGTCAACACTTCATTGAAAATTAGGCGGGAGCATTTTAGTAGACAATATATTCTTCTTGGGAGTGGGAGACATTCCTAAAGGATTATCAGTAGAGTTGGGAATATTAGTTTTAACATTTGAAATTGTGGGAGGGGATTTCCAAACTTGTATTTAAAACGATTAGGGGGCAACTGGTAACTAATTATCATGATCGCCTTTAGCGCTAGCAAGAAGAGTGGTATGGTGCACGATTAAAAGAAGTAGGAAGCTCAATGAATTGAAGAGTGCAGGAGAGAGTTTTAGAAATGTTGGGTATTGTAAGCTTAACTATTAATTTGAATTAAACATATGAGAATGATGTATAGAGACTAAAGAAAAACTAAGCAACGACGAACAACTCATTTTGTATTTGCCATTTGGTGAAGGATTGATAGTGAAAAAGTTTATCCCTTTTGGCTTTCATGGGGCTATGGTAATCATGAACATTTTTTCTTGTTTTGTTACATAGAAAAAAATATTAGAGCAAAGAGCACTTCCCCTAGAGATGTTTCTATAAGTATGTAGAATGATGAAAGTCCTGCAGTCCTACAATTTTCTCAAACATGACTGTGAAGGCATTGGGCTTTTCAAAATTAATAAGAACCCGCGCGAGAACCGCATTGATCCATTCGTTGATCTAGGAGTCAAATGGTTGAGATGGAAGTTTCTCATGAGATCCTCTACTAGAAAACAAAATGCTTGAAACGATAGGAAATGGTACTTTTGAATTTGATAATAGTGCTAGTGTTGGAGAAGGGCTTCATATTTGAAAGAGGAGCTGAGAAGGTTTTTAGCAAACATCATTAAAAAATGGGGCAATAAAAATGTGTAATCATAAATTGAGAGGCCATGCCTAGATAAGGCTGCAAGCTAGTGGGCAACAAGCTTGTGCGAGTGGTGGATGTCAATGTCGTGACAACGAAGCAAGTAAGATCATTAGCAAGCTGTGTTGGGGGTGGGTGTTGAAGATGCCATGAGAGCTCGCAGAGGCCAGACATATGGTATGGAATGTCAATCTCACGAGAGAGGGAGGGAAATAATTTAATTATAATAGGGCCCTAGTCAGGTTTTGATACCATGCTGGAAACTTTTGAGAAAAAAAATTACCTGATATATATTTTCAATAGAATTGATGCTTATAGATCGGCAATTACAAAAGTCAAAACATAAAGAAATAATATTGAGTATATCTTCAATTAAGAGGGTGTATTACATTATAATGACATAATAAATTACAGAATTTCCTCGTTATTGATTTTTAATTTGGTATGTTAACATGCGCAGACATATTTTTCCAAACTGGAACAATTCGGTCTGCAGATAAGACGTGAATGTCAATTAACTGGTTCTCTCAAGATGGGTTACCAGTATTTCATAGAGAAATTTGATCCGTTTGATGAACACATCCTATCTCAGCTTCATAGCAATCATGGTTCATTACTCTTATTTATTTTATTTTTTTTTTATTTTCTTGTGGTTAATAACTCTTAATTTATGACAGATCACTTGCATAATTTTTTTATGTTATCAAGCACTGTTTCGTGTTAGAAGCATGCTACTCTGCTTATCAGTCAAAAATGCATCTTATGATTTATAATATTTGAATGTATTTTTAGTTAATTTTTTGTTTTACATTTGTGATGTATAGGGGTTGTCATTTTTTGAGCTTGTTATTGGAAGAACTGGATCAACCTGCAGTTGCTTTACACTCTCATAAGTCTCAGGCTCTCCGTCTCTCTGCATTGAATAAATTTAAATCGGGACAGGTTCCTATTTTGCTTGCTACAGATGTAGCTAACCGAGGCCTGGATATTCCAACGGTAGATCTTGTCATTAACTATGATATTCCAAGGTGATTTTCAGCTTTGATTTACTTCATTGTAAAATTGGTCATGGTGATATTATTCTATGAACTTTGATGACATACATGGGCTGTAGGTATCCACGGGACTATGTACACCGTGTAGGTCGTACTGCCAGGGCAGGCAGAGGAGGCATTGCCCTAAGCTTCATAACACAGGTATGCCTTTTTGTTTTGTATGAACCCTTGGCTCTTGAAAAAAAAAAAAATTACACTAAGGAGCTAGTTTATTTTTCTATTGGGAACTATCTTTTAAGGGGACGGATGCAACTTTCGATTTCTTATAGTATTAGATGTTTGTATGTCGCCTTAATTGTAATAAAATTCAAAACATTGAGTTTTTGCTTTCAACAACCAAATCATTTTGAAAATCCCATCTTTTCTCTTTTACCTCCTTTTTTGCATATGCGGAGGTAGATAGTTCATCAGTCATCATCTAGTTAGATATGAATAGCTAAAAATTAAAGTCATGAAGCAGGGCATCTCCTAATCTGTTCTTTTGATCTTTTTTTCGCACCTTAAAATTTTAATATTTTTTGCAGAATGATGTAGATCTTATTCACGAGATTGAGACTGCTGTTGGAAAACAATTGGATCTATTTGAATGCGAAGAGAAGGAGGTGCTTGAGGATATCACCAAGGTAAAGTGTTTTCAGTTAATCTTGCATGGCTACTTTGTATAAAATACTCTCAGGTGATTGCATGTAATTTTTTATCTTTCTTATTATTACATGTACATATTTTTTCAGATGATGGGATAAAATAAAATAATTTTTTTTATTTAAATAAAAGATGATTTTATTGAGAATAGAAATCCAACAATATGACAATAGTAATGGAAGCAACAATCAGAAAATTAAATTTTTTATTTAAATAAAAGTCGGTCTTATTAATATTATTAAAATCATTCCTTCGTGCATGACACAAGCAAAGAGAGGATATGAAGACAAGTGATAGTTGCTTGGTGTCTTGGAGTCACTTCAAAAAATAAGAAGAGGCACAAAAAGAAGAATAAAGGCAATCAAGAGCTAATAATGTGCTACAATGACTCACACTTGGCTAACTAAGGCAATGAAAAACTTGTAATTTCATAGAAGCTGTTAAAGATTCATAAAAGCTTCCAATTGGTGAACCAGGTCTACTTGGGAGGCCACATTTTATTATAAATAAATGAGGGAGGCTTGTAGAGAAGGGTGGACCAAGGGAAAGCAAATCAATTGGCTAGAGAAAGAAGAGGAGAGGCTTCAATAATTGAGGGGGAGGATCTTGAAAATCTTGTATCGAGGTGATTCGAGAGAGAGATCATGGCAACATGAGAGCCCATTCCTCAATACTTCAAGAATTGAGGGAGGAGGATCTTGGAGATCTTGTATTGAGGTGATTCGAGAGAGAGATCATGACAAGATGAGAACTCATGCCTCAATGCTTCAAGAATTGAGAGGGAAGGGAGGATCTTGGAGATCTTGTATCGATGTGATTCGAGAGAGAGATCATGGCAAGATGAGAGCTCATTCCTCAATGAAAAAGCCTTATAATTCTTCTTTATTGCCTTAGTGGATTTGATTGTTTATTTCCCTCCCGTGAATGTAGGTCATATGGACCGAACTGCGTAATTCTTGGGTGTTCTTGTTTTTTGTTTGCATATTATCTTTGTTGCAGTTTTCTTTCTACTTTCTCGTTTCTTACTGTGGTTTTTGTTCTCTACTCCTTCTACGGTCCAACACCAGCAGGTGCTATTGGAAGTTTGCAGGGTATTTGGCTTGCATTTTATTTGTCCCAATTGCAGGAACTTGTAGGAGTTCTTTGGTCAGTTGGGAAGGCAAATTACAGGTTCTTCAGTTGTTCCGACAGCAAGTATCAGTGACTCTTGAAAGGAGTTCAATATCCCAGGATCTTATTCGGTTCCAAGGTGTTCGCATCTTGGAAGAGTAGTCCAAGAGGATAATTGCAGCTTTAGATGTTCGAAAGTGCAGTTCTTGATTTTCTTGAGGTGTCAAGCGGTCTTATTTTTCTTCAACAATTGGCGTCGTCTGTGGGAAGTCTAGCCACGACAATGGGAACCGCCAAATTCGACCTCGAGAAATTCACCGAAAAGAATGATCTCGGCCTGTGGAGAGTCAAGATGAGAGCTCTATTGGTGCAACAAGGTGTCGCAGAAGCTTTGCAAGGGCCGACAGCATTGCCGGCTAAGATGGACAAGAAAGAGAAGAACGGCATCCTAGACAGAGCCCCTCGGGGCTAGGTGGAGGGAATCTCTATTCAAGATTTTGTAATTGAGAGTCAAGGTGGAGAATTGTTACAATGACTCACAATTTGCTAACTAAGGCAATGACAAACTTGTAATTTCATAAAAGCTGTTAAAGATTCATAGAAGCTTCCAATTGGTGAGTCGGGTCTACTTAGGAGACCCCATTTTGTTATGAATAAATGAGGGAGGCTTGTAGAGAAGGGTGGACCAAGGGAAAGCAAATCAATTGGCTAGAGAAAGAAGAGGAGAGGCTTCAAGAATTGAGGGGGAGGATCTTGGAGATCTTGTATCGAGGTGATTCGAGAGAGAGATCATGACAAGTTGAGAGCTCATTCTTCAATGCTTCAAGAATTGAGGGGGAAGATCTTGGAGATCTTGTATCGATGTGATTCGAGAGAGAGATCATGGCAACAAGATGAGAGCTCAAGATGCGAGCTCCTTCCTCAATGTAAAAGTCTTGTAATTCTTCTTTATTGCCTTAGTGGATTTGATGATTTATTTCTCTCCCTTAGATGTAGGTCCTATTGACCGAACCACATAATTCTTCTTGTTTGCATATTATCTTTGTTGCATCTTTTCGTTTCTTTTTTTCTGTTTTCTTGCCTACTGCAGTTTCACTCTCCTTCGGCTGTCAAGGAGGTGTTTGACATTTGTTATTTATCCCTATTCAGCAGTCCTGTTTTTGGTTTTCTTCAGGTGTTCGGCAATCTAGTTTTTGGTTTTCTTCAGGTGTTTGGCAGTACAGTTCTTGATTTTCTTGAGGTGCAAAGCGGTTTTATTTTTTCTTCAACATAATGATTATACACCTAACCAAGCTAATCAAGTTAGGCTGATGGATCATTGGCCACCATGATTGAGTGCATGATGCTGCAAACAAGAACCGTTGTGGCTGGTAGGCCAAGTCAAATTCCTGTTCCTTCATTGCTAAATGAAAACATGTTCAAGAGGATATGGCTATCACTCATGAAAGGAGAATTTGATCTTTTGAATAGTTAGCCAAATTGGATATTCCTTTTGAAGCTAAGTCATCATACTCTCGTATATTGGAATGCCCACCTAAAAATGAATGACTATCAAAAGGTAACTTAAAAGATATTCCAGTTATTGATATATCAAAACTTCTATCATTTGAGGAAAGTAGCATATTAGTGGGAAAATGGCCTATTTTGAGGCAATGGCAACCACATTCTACGCAGAATCACACCACAGAATTTTAATGCTAGGCACTCTAAAAATAAATTCTGTGAAGTTGCAACTATTGATGAAGTACTCCTCAAAGACTTCAATTCCAAAACCCAAATGGATTCTACTTGTTCCCAATCATTAATTTTTTAGTCGATTCATTATGATGTTGTGGCCTTAAAACAAAATAACCAAGTTAGAAGCGAGAGACTCGAGCAATCCAAAGAGGGTTCTTTTTTTCCAAAAATAATAAGTAAAAGAAGACCGATGATGTGTCATTTCATCTAAAATTTTATTATATATATTTTTTTAGTTCGTATTTTTTATTTCTTACTTTTCATATCATTACCTATTATGAGGCTGATGTTGACATCCAATTCTCCTCGAAGGGCAACCAAAATAACAGTCATTCCAGAATGGCTTGAGAGTTGCCATCTAACTTTTGATCATGCATAGTCGCTGAAGTAAAAGCAATCACCCCATGCATCTAGATAAAAATTTAACAAAGGGAGGAGTGACCTCATGTCAGAGGTTGTCTTCAAAACCTAATCAAATTGATTGACTAAGCGGGGTGTTCAATATAGCCAGACTGAAGATCAAGGATCCTGCTATTGTTTACAAGCATTTAAACATAAGGGAATTAGAGAGAGAGAGAGAAAATTGGATTAATATATATGTTTGTGCAAGGAGTTACTGATTTTGAGGAACTAAAGCTCATACAACGGGATAACATTTTGCTTGTGAGAGAGAAAGAGAAGAAAGCAAGAACAAGAAAGAGATCATAGGAGAGCAGAGAGCAGGCATATATAGGCGAGGCTACACAAGAATTGTGTACGCTAGTGCGCTTTCATATATACTTGAGACTAGCATGGAGGCTGGTTGTGGGGACGTGCAATCACGTGAGATGAAGTTGAATACTTTGCAACAGAGTTATGGGGTTTATTAATTAGGGCATGGTGTTAACAAGAGAAAAAGTATGTTCCCTCTTTTGTGGGGTGTGAATACTTGGATTAAACAATGTTCCCTCTTTTGTGGGGTGTGAATACTTGGATTATACATGTACGGTATAAGTGAGAAAATGTAAAATTAAGCATTCCAGTTAAATTCAATTGACCTTGAGTATTTCAGTATTAGATGTGTTAGGCCTAGCCAAATACTTGTAAATGTATTGATGTAATCAAATCATTGAAGTTGATCCTTGAGGCTTCTTTGCATCCATTTCTTAGCAAAAATAATCACAGATAAATTAACATTTGGATTTTATAATTATAGAATTTATATTGTTCTTTATACATATTTCCAGGTAATTTTTACAGTAGGCATCAGCTAATTTGATTGATGGAAATAACATTTCAATCGTCCATCAATCCTTACCTTCAGAGCATGACTCATCAGTCATTACCTGCAGCTAGAGGCGAATTCAATATGGGGGTGCTTGTCCTCGTTGCTCTTGATTGATTCCATGATTTACATGATCGTCGTCTTTCATGATTTGGCTGTTAGGAAATAAACAAAATTTATGTAAATAAATAGCTAAAAGAATAGAAAACATGTATGAAATTATAAAGACAAATATATATAAAAATTTATGCAATTTTTTTTAATTGATAACTACACTCTTATAAATATTACTCAATTTAATTATAGGACTCCACTCAAAAAAGATATTAGATTTTCCCTTGAATAAAAATATACTGACTCAATTTTTTTTGTTCTTTTATGTTGGCAACTTATTTCAATATGTAAATATTAAATTTTTTTCTCCATTTTCATGTAAATGCTTAATGAATCAAGTTTCTTTGGTTACCGTAAGGATTTACATGAAACATTCATAAAAAAAATGAACAGATACATTTAAAACCCCCATAAAAAGCTCACTTTTCTCATCATTTTTTTTAGAATTGATTGGAATAAAATGTTGTAACCAACATAAGCACTACAAAGTACGAAAAAAGCCACAAAACAATTCTCACGTGATCTATATAATTCAGTTAAAAGTTCAATGCATTTAATGACTTTTAAAAATGCTTCAGCTTACCTGTAAAAATTAAGGGCATTTACATACAACAAAATTCTTATATATTTACACATCTAACACCTATACATTCATATTTACATGCATCTCTCAAATCTTTAACATCACATCAAAAATGCCACCATCAATACTTTTTAATGGTGAAATATATCTTTTCATGCATAGGTTTATGACACCAAGGTGTTATAAATATAAATATCAAACTTTGGGTTTTAGATGTGTAAATACATAAGTATTGTGAGGTATGCATGTAAATTTCCCTAAAAATTATAGTATAAAATTTAAGCAAGTGAGATATGATCATTTTTTCAAAGGAGAAGATTAATTAATAAACTTAAACACGCGCGTTCACACACACTTAAAAAACATTGACTGCTACTTTGGATGGTCTTGTTGCAGTTCGCTCTTTTTGGTTGAAGCTGGAGCTTCTTCTTCTCTCTTTCATAGCTATGCATGACTTCATATTGAGAGTGCAGCTTCTCAGGTCTTAATGGTTCCCCACATTGCCTGCTAATTTAAACAAATTTAAGAATCTATTTTTTTTATTTCTTCCCCAAAAACTATGTGATCTAAATTTTCATGCACTAATTCAAATCTATTTGCTCTAAATTTGATTGAACTCACGAGCAATTTGGCTTTTAGAATGTTTGTACATGGCTTATGTACTTTTCTGTCATCTTACTTGATCCTTTATTGCTTCCCCGTTTCCCCAAATTCTTCCTAATTGTCATTACGGATCAAATTTTCAGTATATATGAATAAACATTTATCATGAAAATAATATAAGTAGAATGATATATGGTTACCATATTTTTTTAATATGGAGTTCTCTAAAAAAAAATGTCATGACTTCTGACCAATTTTGTTCAGTATTAATTTATCATATACATTCTTACCGATTGGATTGTTTTGTTTCTAATCTAGACTCTTAAGGCTTTTAATTTATTTTATTTTGTTCATTGTTGTGTAAAAATACTCTACTTTACTGATATATGAGTAGAATTTTAGGAGTTGCATGTCACCTCCCAAAAGAGCTCTTAGTGGTGGTGGGTAGCCCAGGACTTAAATACTGTTTTTCAGCCATACATCTAGCTAATGTGGGACTTTTTATTCATGGGTAGCCCAGGACTTAAATACTGTTTTTCAGCCAAACACCTAGCTAATGTGGGACTTTTTATTCATGACATTCTCCTCCACCCAATCACGTGACGCCCTCATCACGGATCGACTCCACCGAGGGTCCCACTGGACCATGGAGAATCCACAAACCTAGCAAGTAGTAATCTGCTCTGATATCACTTGTCACCTCCCAAAAGAGCTTTTAGGGGTGGTGGGCAGCCCAGGACTTAAATACTGCTTTTCGGTCATACATCTAGCCGATGTGGGACTTTTTGTTCGTGACATGCAGCTTCAAACGTCCAACATCCCTACTCTAACAGAATACTAAGGTTTCGTTTTTGAAAAGAAAAATTCAGGACATTATTTATTTCTTATTTTTTTGAAATAGTTGTAATAAAATTTTTATTTAATTAATTATATATTATACTAAAGAAATGGTAATATTTAAATAGGTTATCAAGTTCAACGGTAGTTAAGTTGAACTTATTCAATTGTTTTACTTGTCAAGTTCAACATTAGCTGGGTTGGTCACCATTTGAATTTTCTAAGTTATTTAAATAAGTTGATCAGTTACATTATGGGCCATAAATGGGTAACCGGGGTTGAACTGATATGATATGGAAACCGCTACTTCGATCTGTCTAATAGAGAATAAATTATCTGTACTATTTTGTGGCTTCAACTCACTAACCAATTAAGTGAATATTTTTACTACTTTAATGCACTAACAAATTTTCTTTTCTAAATAAGGAAAATATAACTTAAGCATGCTATGATAAGAATTTATCATTTTTAGTGCTCTTGATATCTTTTATTACAGCAACAGCATTCTGCTGAATCAATTTATTACAGCTTTCTGCCGCATTGAGTTTTGCAATTGCATTAATAATCAAAGTTTCTGCAGGTGTACAAAGCCAGGCGTGTTGCTAGAATGAAGATGAATGATGATGGATTTGAAGAAAAGGCCAAAGAAAGAAAAGCATGTAAGATGAAGGCATTAGAAGAGAAGGGCTTGCTGAAGAAAAGGAAATATAAATCTAAAGAGTGAAATTTCTTATATGGTTTGTATTCTGTGCTCTGATGAGTTTTATTAACAATTTTGTAGCCTTGTTTGTTTTAGTTAAAGCTATTTATTTATCACATGTTCGTGTACTAGATTCTGTACAATTATCATTATAACTATATTCATTAACTTCTAATGGGTCTTTTTTTCATTTAATTAAATGAAATGCTCTCTTATTTTTTTTGTCTCCATTTTTCATTGAAATGTTCTTATTTTTCTGCCTCACTTTATATCTGTGGATCATTTTAGTTAAACGCATTTAATCAAGAATATCTTTCTAATCCAAATTAGGACAATGCAGCGGAAAATGTTTTGTTTTGTTGTGTAAAAAAGGGTGAGGAATTGAGTTATTCTAAAAATTAATTAGTTTTACATTTTCACTCTTTATTATTTTACCTTTCAGAAAAGTTGTCTTTTATTTAATTGTTTGATATGGGTATGTCTCTCCCGAAACGATGGATGGCGAGTCAAATTACTTCTTAGCTTATCTGTTTCAAACATGAAAACAATCACGAGGGTATATATTTGATGGAGATATGCTGAAGCTATTTGAATTTCACCAACCATAGAAGATCCATCAATAGTGAACAGTTTTTCAGGTAAAATAACTGTACCAAAACCAGCTTTTACTGAAGCTGGCATTGTTGGAAGCATCCAGGTTTTGCCTCCTAACAAGCGAAATTTTTTGTATCCGGACTACGGACGTAGCTCTATGTGCTGACTCCAGTAATATACTACCATGTGTGCTATATCGGGCCCACGTAAAAAATATATTAAAGTGGAACAACGGAGGTTATTGGAGTGGAATTGCGGAGGTTATTGGGATATTAACTCCAATAATGTTGCAATAATCCCTCAATAACCCCCCAACAACCTCTGCAGTTTCACTCCAATAACCCTCCTCCAAAAACCCCCGCAATAACCTCCCAATAACCTCCGCGGTTCTACTTTAATAACCCACAACAATAACCCCCACAATAACCCTCCAATAACTTTCGCGGTTTCACTTTAATAACCCCTCGTTATAACCCCTAATAACCCCCCAATAACCCTTTAATAACCTCTGCGGTTTCACTTCAATAACACTCCAATAATATCCACGATATAGCACACGTGGCGGCAGAGCTGCGTCCGGACTTCGGATATAAAATTCTCTCCCTAACATGCTCATGATTTCCCAGTGGCTCCCTGTATCAGGGCAAGTTATCTGAGAAGCTGAATGGAATAGCACATATGTGACTCTATAGGTGCACAGGAAATAAAAGCCATAGAATAATATTGCCAGAGGATAGACTATCAGAGATAATGTCAACTATAAATCAACATCAGATGAAGACAGAAGGAAGTAAGCCGGGAAACTCTGGAGATTAATATGTAATGATCACTTATTTATATTATATGAGAGAAACTCCTTTTTGAATTGGGGAAAATCTATGTAATAAGTGATGAATGATCGATCCGCAGATGCAGTATCTTGATTTTTTCTTAGTAGAAATAGAAATCTCTCTCTTCAGTTAGTTCTTTCCTCGCCTCATTACTATTTATCTTGAGTTGTCAGCCACAGACAAATCTCACACCGCAGACAAATCAGGATTCAATTGATATGATCAAACAAAATGAGTAATGTGGTACATCATAGCCAATTAGAATTTTTTTCGAGTTATGTTGAAGAACATCAGTAGAGAAACACCTCTCTAATTTTGGAGAGAATATTAAGTATTGCACGTCTCAAGAGATATAACGGTCTAGATGGGTTGTTGTGTGATACAAGGTGGCATGCTCGTATCATGACCGTCGTTCAGCTATGTGGGCAGCCGCACTTAATATTTTGTCCTAAATTTGCTGCCCATTTATAACATTAGCAAGGTCAGACATCCTTAACTTAGGGTGCATTTGTTTCGATTGTGGCTGTAGAAAACTCTGTCCAAAAGTTGTCATTGAAAATCTGTTGTTTAGCAGCTGGTAATTCAGAAGCAATTGGTCTGTTTGAAAATACAGTTATGAAAATGATGTCTGTTGACAAATAGAGACTGTAATACCCCTCAGTATGTCAACATAGTTTTGTTTGAAAAACATAGTTCTTAAAGTGTTGTCTGTAGAACAAATCCAATATCAAATTATCAAGTTATTATCACTCACAACACAATAAGAGAATTTAAGGAGAAACACTAACTAAATTTTATGCCCTCAAAATAATTATACAAACATAAGTTCAACATAAGCTGCATCTCAGCCAAAAAGACAAGTTTGCTTACAAAAAAATCCTAATGCAGTACAGTTTGTACTCTGAAATACATAAACATCATCAAAACAGATACAACATGTAAAACAATAAAAGCAATACTCTAATTATAAAATCAAACCAATGCAAGGTCTTCAAAAGAAATTTCAAGTTTTCTATATCATTTTTCACAGTATCAAAAAATTTTTAGATCTTATCATCAACTCATTCATGTATTGCATCTCTCAGTTTATTAACCCATTGAAAAAATTTACAATATCTATTTATTAAATTTTTGGGACATCTATAAAACTTTCAACCAATATTGTTCCATTTTTGTGTCGTGAATACAACGCATAACATGTTGCAATTTCGATGTTTGGTCCCCTGGGATTTCGTCGAGTTGCTTGACCTCATTTTCGATAAAATAATATGTAAATTAATGATTAGCCCATAAAAATGCGAGAAAAGAATAAAAAAGATCAAAAGAAGAGGAATTGAATCGACTAATATTGTAACAAATCTAACAACGCAATTACTCTTTCAATTGAACAATGAAAAATTTGAAGGAATTGGAGATGGAAAACTTTGGAAATAATTCATGGCGTTCATAAAGCCTCATGTTTGTACAACAAAAATAAACTAGATTCACAGCTATTAAATCTTCACAAAGCACATTGAGCTAAAAAATAAGTAGATTAACTATCTAAAAAAGCATTTCTACATGAAAATCTCAAGTCTTACAAAGTTCCTACCCTTCTAACTCCCAAGAAAGATGATATTTAGAAAATGTGTAATAAATTGATCTACAAATAAAATTACTATCAAGTATAAGGTTTTCCATACCCAAGTTTGATGGTATATTGGAGTTAAACTCGGGCGGAAACAACTTCTCTAAAATTAAGCTTAGAAGCATCTATCATCAAATTAGGATCCAGATTGGAAATATGTAGAATACCGCATTCAAGATCCCCAATGAGCTTTATGATGACTAGTTATGCTATTTGCTCCTATAAATGCACTGTACGCATTCAAGAAACTCAAGAATACTAGCTTCAAGCCTTATATTAGGAGGTTTTTTAGGTGTTCTTTGACAATACACTAATTTTTTGCCCTTGTCAGAAAAACCGCCCATAGCATTTATAGTTGCTTTTTGAGATTCTTGGAAAAGAAAGTTATATATCAATCTAAAGAATTATATCTTTCTATAGAATGAGATGATTTATATTAAGATTCATAGTATCAACTAAGGGTGCAAGTGAGTCAAGCTGACTCGTGAACCGGCTCAAGCTCGGCACGATAAGTAGGCTGTGAACTGAGCTCAACAAACTAACAAGTCAAACTCAAGCCAGCCCCAACTCAACTCGTTAGCTCGCAAGCTGGCTCGTTTAAAAAAGTATTAAGATATAATATACTCAAAATATATTAAATTTCAAAACGTTATCAATAAGGTATTAAAAATGTTAAGAAAATAATATTTTTACTGTATATTAAGTAATTTATTATTATTTATCTTCTAATTTTTCATTTTATTTGTCAACATATTATAAATTTATTTTTGAACTCGTAGACTTAAGCTCGAGCTCTAGCCCGAGCTCGATAAAATTAATTAAGTTCAAGCTGAAGCTCAAGTCGAGAGCAACTCAAGCTTGACTCGACTTATTTACCGCCCCCATTCCCCACAAGTTGCCCATCACCTGTATCACAGAGATTATCAGGAACAGGTATGATGAGACCTATCTATCATGGAAACAGATACCTATAGTAACTCTGAACTTGTGGTTGAGGGAGTTTGAAGTACGGTCATTTAATTTGAATTAGATTTATAAATTTGATCTATTTTTTTATATTAACACATAGATTATTTTTTATATTGCAGAGGTCCTTCACCTGTCTCCCAGAGCACTACCATCAAATCCGATGAATCTTCAAGATTCGAGGCGGACATGGTCTTGCTGACATGTTCGTGACAACCTGATGGAGGGGCAAGCGACCTGCTAAGATTTGTGAGGGGCTTTGAGGTCAATTGATCATAGCTAGAGCCTCTCTCAATTATGAGAAGCAGAGGCAGAAGAACCGAGTGAACCGGGTGATGGAGGAGGCCAGGGGAGTTGCGCTCCATTTTGTTGGATCGGTCCCTGTAGCGGGCACTACATGTGGCTGTTAAGATTTAAAAAATTAATTCAATTTTTGGACTAATTTTTTAACCCTCACCATTTTCGTATGCTACACTGTCCAGGAAGTTAAGCTGTGCTCCCTCCAGCAGAGCTGCATGTCAGAACTCATCGTAGTCCTAAGAACATTACCGTTGGGTTGTTGTAAGTTAAATACCTTAAATTAAAAGTTAATTTTAACTCTCACTATTGAAAGTGTCAATTAAATGTTGGTTTTCATTGTGTAGGAGGGGTTTGAGCAGCTTCAGGAGAGGCACTTGGTTGCTCAGGCCCAGAATTCTACCAACAACAGTGGTCGTCAGTATACCACTGCGCATACACGAGCAAGCCCAGGCTTAGCTCGTGTTCGACTAGTTTGGTTAGCGAGCCGAACACGAGTCATTCACGAACAAAGAATCGTTTTGACAACCCTAATCACGTAGTCATAAGATGTTAATGATTGGGGGAGCCGAACACGAACGAACAAATATTTGTTCGTGTTGCTCGTGTCGAACACAAGCTGTTCGCGAATAATGAGCCGTTATGACAGCCTTAACTGTGCAGTCCGAGTACGAGCTTTGGAGCCAATCGACGAGTAAAAGTGAGAGGGTTTATGGCCTTGCAGGGAAGGGCACAGCCTTCGAGGGCGAGCTCTCCCATGGCCTCGTTCTTAGTTCCTCGAGCTCATCACAGCCAGACCAGAAGGCTCTTGTCAGACATGTGGTTGCAATGAACGAAAAGATCCGCCAGTTGTGCGAGCAGATGCTAGAAGACCAACATAGAGTCACAAACTCTATAGCTCGCATGACGGAGACCTTAACAGATAGCCGGGGCAAGCAACTAATAACATTCGTGCATGAGGAGAAGGATGGAGATGATTAATAGTTCTTTTTTTATGTTTTCTTTTATTCGTAGCATTATGTTGAATATTTGTTGTGAAATTTTTTTGATTAACTTTACTATTCTTATTTAGGTCGATTTTTTATAGTATTTAACTTTTATTAATAATATTGTTTAGAGACTTGATCGGTGATATGATTATGTTTAATTTGGTATGTAATGTGAAATGTGTTTTTGTGGAGGTTGTGAAAATGCAACTAGTATTATAATTTTTTTTTCGTTACAGACTTGCATTGTGTATGTTTTTTGACGCAAAATATGATACTAAATCTACAATAATATTTAGTCATTCTACGTTATTTTTTACTCAAAGGAGGTGGTATGTGATATTTTAATACACAAATTTCGACCTATGTTTAGTATAAACAAAATTGACGCTAATATGATGCAACAACCGATACTAACATTACCGAAATTAAGCCGAAATAATATTATCGACCCCTGGATTAACGTCGGAAAAGATCGGACGCAAATCCGACCATAACACTTAAAATTTAGTAAACAACAGAGAAGAAAATGGCGAGAGAAGTGAAATGGTGGAGAAGAAAAATAACGAAAAAGTGAAATAAAGGAAAAGAAGAATGGTGCAGAAGATAATGTGGGAGGAGAAGAATGATGGAGAATTTACCAGACGAGCGGAGAAAAAAAGAAGCCAAGACTAGATTGGGCTAGGCGAGTTCACGAAGAAGAAGGCGATAGTGCTCCGGCACAAATTGTATTTTTCGGGTTTGCAAGCGAGGCGAGGTGAAGGGTAGAATCATGTGCTGTTTCATTCATGAACGGTGGACGACACCAACCCTTCCACGTTCGTAAATGTACAATAATCTCAAAACTCGATTCGGGACCGTTCTACTTAGAGAGCGATTATTGTGTGCAGAGAGTGCACGCAATATAATTAGACCTACATAGAAGCATGATTCAAACACCCCAAAAACCCATTTCAATAGACAGCATCCCACTTTATCTGTTGATTCAGCATAAGAATCTCCAGTCGCTTCTGACAAACAGCTTCTAACAACTGCAGCGCAATTGAAAAGTTATGAAGAGCAAAAAAAATGGAGCACGCGCTGAGTCATTATACTTAAGATGTAAATTAAGCAACAAACAATTATTTTATAACTTTTTTATGAAGATAAATTAATATTCTGATAATTACATTTGCTGAAGTTTGCGGAGAGCAAACGCTCACTCCTTGTAAAATCAGCCATCAAGGCACGCTGCTTTCACTTTCACTAATTATTAACTATTGGGAAATTTACATAAAAACTACACATTTTTTATAAATTTATATGTCTAATCCCCAAAAGTTGATAATTACATTTATAACCCTTTACTGTCATAAACTGTATATTATAAAAATATGTATTTCGTTCTAAAAGTTTAGTAATTATGTTATATTTATATTATAATTAGCAATTTTGGTTTATCTTCATTGATTAAGGAGTTAGATTTAATTAAGGACATATGTTTTTTTTTTAATGATGAGATGGTCTCATCTAATCTCTAAAACTTTATTTTATATTTTAGAAACTAACTAGCAAAACGTATGTTTTAAAGTATTTTTCTCAATATAAAACTACTCATAAATTAAAAAAATTATCTTTCATATAAAAAGCTGTCCTTGTCTGCTTAACTAAAATTATCTGAAAAGTTGTTTATTAAATATTAGGAATGATAGATTTTTAATTGTGCAAAATAATTGACCTCCGTGGTAAGAAGATTTTGTAAGCAATTCTCACTCTTTGCCTATTTGCAAATACTCAGTTTTGCAATGTACGAAAATAAAAAAAATATCTACATATTTCTTTATTAGAATAAAAAGAATAAATGAAAACATGGAAGGTAGACACAAAATTATTCAGATAAAAATAGAAAGTATATTCTAACGTATATATATGCCTCCGGTCATTTCTATATTTTTTTTAAAGAAAGAGCAGCTCCCTACAC